CTGTGGGCGGGGGCGCACGCCAGGGCGGCGGCGGCGGCGGCGACAACGGCGGCGGCGGCGGCGGCTACTCCTCCTCCTCATACTCCTCCTCCACCTCCTCCTGCCCCGCCTCATCCTCCTCCATTCCTTCCTTATAAACATATTCTCCCTGTCGCACCCCGAGGCAATTTCTTAGGGCGGACTGGGCGTTTCGTCTTAGACTTCCTCGCCACGTATGACTCTGAACCTTCAGAAATGGCAACAGCTTCTCGGAACGAGGGCGGGTGGTTTTCAACATGTGGTTCTCGCCTAAGCGCGGCGCACATTCGTTTAAAACAAATGCAAGAGCTTCACGGATTTAGGGCGGGTGGTTTTCAACATGTGGCTCTCGCCGTAGCGCCGCGCATATTCGACTTTGAAAAAATTGCCAGGGTTTCACGGATTGAGAGCGGGCCGATTCCAAGATGTGGCTCTCGCCGTAGCGCCGCGCATATTCGTTTTCAAAATTTACAAGTTCTTCACTGATTAAAGGCGAGTGATTTTCATGTGGCTCTCGCCCTAGCGCCGCGCACATTCGTTTTAAACATTTGACAGAGCTTAACGGATTGAGGGCGGGCCGTCTTCGAAAGATGGTTCTCGTCCGAGCGCCGCGCACATCCGTCTTGAAAATTGCAAGAGTTGCACAGATTAAGAGCGAGTGGTGTTCAAAATATGGCTCTCGCCTTAGCGCCGCGCACATTCGTTAACAAAAACTGCAAGAGCTTCACGGATTGAGGGCGAGTCGTTCTCAACATGTTGCTCTCGCCTTTGCGCCCTGCACAAGTTGCAAGAGTTTTACGGATTGAGGACGGTGCCTTTTCAAACTGTGGCTCTTGCTTCAGCGCCGCGCCCACTCGTTTTAAACATCTCATCATCAACGTACCCGATGGTTCTTTGGGAAAGATTCAGGAGCATGCGGGCGCAACAGTTACGTTCATTCGCTGTGTTGATGAAGTCCTGGGAATGGCGTCCTGGTATGATTCAGGCTCGCCAAGACGCAACAGTCAGGTTGATCCGGGGTGTTGGAAACCCGAGAACCAGGGTCTTCAAACGGGTGTCTTCCAGCAAGGCAGTTCCATCAATGAAAATGAACCGTTGCAGGGGCCCATGAAGACGGAGCTTGGAGGGAAGATTTACTCCAACATCGTTGACGACTCTTGGGTGTACGCTAGTCCTCCTCCTCTTCCTTCTCCGTCTCCCCTCACCATCCTCCACGTTCTCTTTCTCCCCTCCCCATCCTCCTCCTCCTCCTCTTCCTCCTCCTGCTCCTCTTCCTCCTCCTCCTTATCCGCCTCCCCCTCCTCCTCCTTCTCCTCCTCCCCTCCTTCTCCAGATTCATCCTTCTCCTTGTCCTCCTCCCCTCCCCATCCTCCTCCTTCTCCTCCTTCTCCTCCTCCATCGCCCTTCTCCTCCTCCTCCTCCTCCACCTCTTCCTCGTTCTTCGCTCCTCCTCGTTGCTCGCTCCTCGTAGCTCCTCGCTCCTCCTCTCCTCCTCCTCCTCCTGCTCCTCCTCCTCCTCTCTCCTCCTCCTCCTCCTCCTCCCTCCTCCTCCTCTCATCATCATCATCATCACATCATCTCATCATCATCATCATCATCATCAATCATCATCATCATCAATCGCATCATCATCATCAGCATCATCATCATCATCATCATCATCATCATCATCATCAGCATCATCATCAGCATCATCCAGGTCCATCGTCAATCATCATCATCACATCCATCATTCATCACCATCACCATCACCATCTACCTCACCGATCACACCACCACCACCATCACCACACATCACCACATCACCATAACCATCCCAGCACCATCACCATCACCGGCATCCTCATCTCATCTCATCATCATTCATCATCATCATCATCATCTGCATCATCAATCATCATCCACCACCACCACTCATCATCATCATCATCATCATAATCCATCATCATCATCATCAGTCATCAATCATCATTTTCATCTCATTCATCGTATCATCATCATCAGCATCATCATCATCATACACCATCATCATCATCTCAGCAATCCATCATCATCACAACCATCACATCACCATCACCATCACCATCATCATCACCATCACCATCGCCATCACCACCACCATCACCATCACCATCATCAGCATCATCATCAGCATCATCATCATCATCATCAGCATCATCATCATCATGATCATCATCATCATCATCATCATCATCATCATCATCACCATCACCATCATCGTCACCATAACCATCATCATCACCATCATCACCATCCTCATCACCATCATCATCATCATCATCATCGTGATTATCATCATCATCGTCATCATCATCATCATCATCAGCATCATCACCATCACCATCACCATCATCAACATCATCATCATCATCACCATCACCATCACCATCACCACCACCATCACAATTATCATCATCACCATCACCATCACCATCATCATCACCATCACCATCACCATCATCATCACCATCATAAGCATGAGCATCATCATCATCATCACCATCATCATCATCACCATCATCACCATCATCACCATCATCACCATCATCATCATCATCATCATCACCATCACCATCATCATCACCATCACCATCATCATCACCATCACCATCACCATCACCATCACCATCACCATCATCATCATCATCAGCATCAGCATCATCAGTATCATCATCAGCATCATCATCATCAGCAGAAGCATCGTCATCATCATAATCATCATCAGCATCATCATCATCAACATCAGCATCATCATCAGCAACATCATCTCATCATCATCATAATCATCATCATAATCATCATCATCATCATAATCATCATCATCATCCTCATCATCATCCTCATCATCATCCTCATCATCATCCTCATCATCCTCATCATCATCATCATCACCATCACCATCATCATCATCATCACCATCATCATCACATCATCATCATCACCACCACCACCACCACCTATCATCATCATCAGCATCACCACCACCACACACCCCATCATCATCATCATCACCATCTCATCATCCTCATCATCCATCATCATCAATCACCATCCCATCATCACATCATCATCATCATCATCATCATCAGCATCAGCAATCAGCATCACATCATCATCATCATCATCATCGCCGTCGTCAATCGTCATAATCATCATCAGCATCATCAATCTGCATCAGCACAGCATCGTCATCCATGCAGAATTGTTCTACCGAGTTCTCCTTGACATGTTCGCCTCCTCCTCCTCCTCCCCCTCCTCCGCCTCCTCCTCGTCCTCCTCCTCCTCCTCCTCCTCGTCCTCCTCCTCCTCCCCCTCCTCCACCTCCTCCTCCTCATCATCCATGCCCTCCACCTCCTCCTCCGTCTCCTCCTCATGCCCTCCTCTTTCTCTTCTTCTTCTCAGTAGTAACACTCGTCTTGGTATTATTCTGCTGCTGGTATTACTGTTATTCGTTTCTTCGTCGTCTTCCTCTTTTTCTGATTATTTGTCGTTTTAATAGTATTCATCCGCCTCCTCCTCCTCCTCCTCCTCTTCCTCCTCCTCCTCCGCATCATCATCATCATCATCATCATCATCATCATCATCATCATCATCATCATCATCATCATCATCATCATCATCATCATCATCATCATCATCATCATCATCATCATCAGCATCATCATCATCATCATCCTCATCATCATCATCATCATCATCATCATCATCATGAGCAGCATCATCATCATCATCATCACCACCACCATCATCATCAGCATTTACATCATCAACATCATCATCATCACCATCACCATCATCGTCATCATCATCAGCATCACCACCATCATCATCATCATACTCATCATCATCAGCAGAAGCATCGTCATCATCATAATCATCATCAGCATCATCCTCAACATCAGCATCATCATCACCACCACCATAATCATCATCATCAGCAGCAGCATCATCAGCATCATCATCATCATCAGCATCATCATCATTATCATCAGCATCATCATCAGCAGTATCATGATCATCATCATCATCATCATCATCATCAGCATCATCATCATCACCAACACCACCACCATCATCATCATCAGCATCATCAGCAGCAGCAGCATCCTCCTCATCATTATCACCATCATCCGCCTCCCCCCTCCTCCTCCTCCTCCTCCTCCTCCTCCTCCTCCTCCTCCTCCCCCCACCTCCTCCTCCTCCTCCTCCTCCTCCTCCTCCTCCTCCTCCTCCTCCTCCTCCTTTTCCTTCTCCTTCTCCTCCTCCTTCTCCGCCTCCGCCTCCGCCTCCTCCTCCTCCTCCTCATCCTCCTCCCTCCTCCGCCTCCTCCTCCTCCTCGTCCATATCCACCTTCTCGTCCATCTCCTCCTCCTCATCATCATCCATATCCTCCTCCTCATCCTCGTCCTCGTCCTCGTCCTCCTCCTCCTCAGCCTCCTCCTCTTCCTCCTCCTCCTCCTCCTCCTCCTTGTCCTGTTCCACCTGCTCCTCCTCATCATCCTCCTCCTCGTCCTCGTTCTCGTCCTCCCAATCGCTCCTCCTCCTCCCAGCGACCCGCCGCCTTAGCGGCGGCGGCAAGAGGAGCGTGCCAATGCTAGTGCGGGGCTAACGTGACGCAAGGCAGGACGGAGACGAGCGAGGCTGGAGCGGAGCTTGCGGTGCTTGGCCAAGGAGCGGGGCAGGAGTACTGGAAAGACTTCGCTGGAAACATTCAGGAGGGTAAAACCCCACTGGGGGGTCGTTGCGCCAGAGTAGGCCGCGGACGAAGCAGGATGAAACCGCATTTGGCGGGATTGAGCCGGATGAATAAGGAATAAGCGGTGCTTGGCCAAGGGCAGGAACAGGTGTAGGACTCGGCGGCAAGCGAGGGGGAGAAGTTAGAGGTTCGAAATTTGAGGTTTTCAGGCGGTTCGCAATTTCTTGCAAGTTTTGCGGCCTCTGGGTGCGTTCCAGCGGCTGCG